ATTACCGATATATTGATCCAGCCCTAGGGGGGGCAGGTATAGAATTCCTTCCCAGGTTCGAAATATTTCACAAAAAATGCTTAATACAAGAAATACATATATAAAGAACTTTAGACCATATTAAGATATACTAGTATACAAATATTTAGGATGTGTTTGAATTTTTTTCCGCCAATCTCCACATGTTTTAATGCTTGATCAACCGCGCAATTCATTCCAGATTTTGTTTGTATACGGCTGACTTGGTATGGTTTTCCCCGTTCTCATGTACTCAGAGCTGCCTCCAGTGAACAAAGAAAATCTAACAATAGTGTACCCCACTTTAATAGAAAGCATGCAAACAGAGAAACGGTGAACAGTACTCATGCAATAGTTGGTAATGGAATGTCAATGTTAGAAAAACTTAAACAAACGCAATAAATTCAACATTAAATACCATATATACAAGAAATTCGTGAACAATTCATTTCCTTTATGTAATATTTTTAAAACTGAATTTACGGTTTATTCCGTTAAACTTGAGCTGTCTCTGGTTCACTATTTCTAGATAATTTGCCATCTTAAAATTCTTCAATTTTTTTTTCAATTTTGTATGAATGAATCATCACACTAACTCAAAAAAAAAATCGATGCATTTCAAAAAGAAAGGCGAATTACTTTACGATACGGTTTATTCCGTAAAAAATTGATTCGAGATTAATTTTATTTTTTTTACTATATTTCTTCTTTTATTTCTTAAAAGTTAGGGAATAAATATTATCCAAAAATAGCCTATATGTATACTTCAAGTTTAAAAAAAAGGAAATGTGAATTAATATGCATTTGGATTAAAGATTGTTTTCCCATAATATAAAAAGAATCCCGTGCGGCGGGAATTTTCTGTTCAATGTACAAAATGTCCCGTAATGCGCAGATTTTTGAACTGTGGATGGCCATCCAGGATATTATAGGGCCCGCTAGGGAATGGCCCAACGTTTATCCGTAGGTTATTTTGGACCCCATGTTTAACACATTGGGAGAGGATTTTAATCTGCACGTTTGTTATTGTGAACGGGTTAAACCCAGATGTCTTCGTGGACTGGGTTCTAACTTGAGCTTGACAAGGGACAGACCCGCGCAGAGTCATTTTCGGGCCATTTTCAGGTAAATTAATTTCCTTCAGATTAAAAATTTATTTCTATCGACCGTTTGTTTACAATTTAAAAATTATTTAAGATTATTCCATGCTGGGCGGAACTATACGTTATATGCCTGGAATGTGAGCCAGAGACACTACCAATACTTAAATGGGAGAAGGAGGCGATACCTTCCGCACGAAGAAAGAAAGAAAAAAAGTAACGAATTAAAATAAATGTAACAAGTAACAAAATAAATAAATGTACAAACTCTATTTACAGTCCTTGTTTTATAGTGGTTAGTGTAAAATTTGTTAAGGGTGAGTATCTGTTAGATCCAGTTTTAAGGTTATTATTATTCAAACTTATTGAAGAAGCTCCACCCCCTCTCCTTATAAATACGCGCCGTTTTGACCGTCGTTAGTCGTCCATTAGAATCATGTCAGCGAAGAGGGGCGGTGGGAGTTTTCGGGAACAGCGGGTAGCGAACATGCTTGAATTAAAACCACGGGATTTTGGCAACCCTTGGAATTTTTATGTGTTATTTTCGAGATCTCCATAACTGGTGTAGGCAGAACGGTATTTTGGCGTCGACATTTCCATGTCCATACAACAACTGCGACAGTCAGATGAATCTCAAGGCACTAGCCCGGGCCCCTGGAGGCAGCACTTTCCATTGTTCCAAGAACAGGGACCATACCAAGTCGTCCAGGACGTACTCTTTCTTCGACAAAAGCAATTTGATGCTACAAGATATGATGGTCTTTATAAAGTCATACCTGGAGAAGAGTAGCCTAGCATTATGTGCACAATTTTTAGGAATGGCATATGGGTCAACAGCAGTCAATTAGGGGAGTTTTACATGTACCAGAGAACTGTTCAAAGAGTAATTTTACAAAGAACTCCGGTACCGAAAATTACAGGGGGTTATAGAGATAGATGAATCCCTATCTGGCAGAAGAGTTAAAATCCACAGAAGAAATCCTAATTGTGGACTAAAGGTATTAAAACAAACATTCAGATGGCGTTTTTCACCAAATGAAAAGTAATCATAAATGTTTACAATGAAAATAAACCAATCAATACAAATTGAAATAATAGAAATGTGTGCTTCACATGCTTCAAAAATAAAATATGAATGTTATTAAATCCATGGTCCCTCCAACATGACTCGCAGAAGCTCGTCAATATGTTCACCCGAAAGGCGACATCTCAACTTAGTGGTAACAAAATTTTGTGAACTGAAAGAGCGTTCGCAGTCTGCTGTATGGATAGGGTGGCCAAGAGCTATGGCAGCTAATCTTCTCAAGTTGGGGAACTGCTCCGAATGATATTGGCATATGAGGGACCATAGTGAAGCCATGGAAGGTCTGGGATACTGCTGGGCTTTAATAAAAAAAAATTTCTTCAGAGTCAACCATTACGTCTGAAATATTGAAAATCAATGCACATGCAAATAACACTCTCCAACTATTAATGCATTGAGTTACAGTGTGATATTATTTTACTTTAATTATCATAATATTATATAATTATAGATACCATTGTTTCTTCTTTGTCAATGAGTGGCTCAGAGATAACTGTTTTCTGCAAATTAGTTTCAGGATCCTTGAAACTGTGCGACTGCTCAGTGCCATAAAACTCAGCTAGGCTCTTTATTTCTGAGTTCCCCCAGTCAGCCAATCCATCATCATCGAGAAATGTTACAGGTCTCAAAGCCAGAAAAGAAAAATAACAAAGGAAATCTGTTTCCGGAAACCTATATATAAAATGAAAAGTCTTCCTAGTTATTAGTGATATTTACAAGAAATTACCATAATATATAAAATTCCCATTCACTCAATTTTTAGGTCACCTGAGTAAACTCAGGTGACCTATTGCTATCCGTTTTCGTCCGTCGTCGTGCGTCGTGCGTCGTCCGTCGTCCGTTAACATTTGAACATTTTCAGCTTCTTCTCTGCAACCACTGAACCAATTTCAACCAAATTTGGTACAAAGCATCTATGGGTGAAGGGGAACAAAAATTGTGAATTTCATGGTCCCTGCCCCCCTTGGGCCTAGGGGGTGGGGCAAAAGCCACTAAAATTAATGCAATCTTTAAAAATCTTCTTCTTTACTCCTGGACATCAAGCAGTTAAACTGTTTGCATGATTGTAATCAGCATTGAGTCCTCTACCAAAATTGTGAAATTTATGGCCTCGGGGTCAGGGGTTCTAGTGCTAGGGTGGGGCTAAATAAGTATATAGTGAAAATGCATTATTTCTTTGAAAATCTTCTTCTCTGCTCCTGGGTATTAAATAAACTAACTAAGAGCATAGTTATGATGAACAAGAGTGCCTCTACCAAAATTGTGAATTTTATGGCCCTAGGGTCAGGGGTTCTAGTGTTAGGGCGGGGCTCTATAGATTATATAGTGAAAATTCATGAATTCTTATAAAATCTTCTTCTCTGCTCCTGAGTATTAAATAAACTAATTAAGTGCATAGTTATGATGAGCAAGAGTGCCTCTACCAAAATTGTGAAATTTATGACCCCGGGGTCAGGGGTTCTAGTGCTAGGGTGGGGCTTAATAAGTATATAGTGAAAATGCATTATTTCTTTGAAAATCTTCTTCTCTGCTCCTGGGTATTAAATAAACTAACTAAGTGCATAGTTATGATGAGCAAGAGTGCCTCTACCAAAATTGTGAATTTTATGGCCCCAGGGTCAGGGGTTCTAGTGCTAGGGCGGGGCTCTATAGATTATATAGTGAAAATTCATGAATTCTTTGAAAATCTTCTTCTCTGCTCCTGATTATTAAATAAACTAACTAAGTGCATAGTTATGATGAGCAAGAATGCCTCTACCAAAATTGTGAAATTTATGACCCCGGGGTCTGGGGTTCTAGTGCTAGGGTGGGGCTAAATAAGTATATGGTGAAAATGCATTATTTCTTTGAAAATCTTCTTCTCTGCTCCTGGGTATTAAATAAACTAACTAAGTGCATAGTTTTGATGAGCAAGAGTGCCTCTACCAAAATTGTGAATTTTATAGCCCCAGGGTCAGGGGTTCTAGTGCTAGGGTGGGGCTCTATAGATTTTATAATGAAAATTTATGAATTCTTTGAAAATCTTCTTCTCTGCTCCTGAGTATTAAATAAACTAAACAAGTGCATAAGTATGATGAGCAAGAGTGCCTCTACCAAAATTGTGAAATTTATGACCCCAGGGTCAGGGGTGCTAAGTGATAGGGTGGGGCTCTATTGATTATATAGTGAAAATACATTAAATCTTTGAAAATTTTCTTCTCTGCTCTTGGATATTAAGCAGATGAACTACCTATGTAGTTATGATGAGCAAGGACCCTAATCTTCCAGAATTGTGAATTTCAAGGCCCCAGGGTCAGGGGTACCATAGGGGGGGTGTACTTATATACTGAAACTGGATGAATTGTTCGAGATCTGCTCCTTGGTATTAATCAAATATTTTTGAAAAGCAAGGGTGCCTTTTCAAAAATTGTGCAATGTGTGGATCTAGGCCTAAGGGTCAGGGGTTCATGTGTGATTGGGGCATTACTGATTATTGCTGAATATTACTGATTAGTTGAAATGCATTTTTTGTTCCCACACCATGCCTATGGGTATTAAGTAAACAAACTAAGCAACTGCTAAGTGTATTGTTATGATGATCAAATGGTGCCTCTTTCAAAATTGTGAATGCCATAGCATCTTGCTTAAAACATTAATCAAATTAAATCGCTGGAAAGTTGTTGCATAATGCTCAGGTGACCTATAAGGCCCATGGGCCTCTTGTTATTGTAATGCACTTTCACCTTTGTTTAATGTTCCCAATAACTTGTTTTTCACTCCTGTGAACTCTTTCTCACAGTGCAGTTTTGATACTGAATGGTGCCCCTTGAAGCATCCATCATTCAAATCTATGGGTAACCTTTGAAGATAGGTGGGCTTTTCCAGGGGGTTATGGCATGTCTTGGTATGAGTAATATATTGTAGAACTTAATTGTAATTTACCTATAGTAACTGATATGATATGCTTGTAGCTTCAAGTTTTGATACTAATTAAAAATGTTTAAGAAATTTATGAGACACTGAATCAATACACAATGAAAAAGGTGGTAAGATCATGCATTACCTTAGACAGGGTTAGTAAAATACACATGTGTAGTACAGTGATGAAAAGCTGTTGCTAGCAAAAATAGTAGTATAGCAGTAAGCGTATAGAGCAATTTAGTGCAGTTAGCAGATCCATTTTTTTTTAAATTCACAACATCTATCTACAGACATAAAACTATACACCAAGTAATACATGCTATGCTAGTGAATAATAGTTTGACTAGGTGTACAAAAATATATGAGCATTGTGGGGAGGAAAATTCAATTTACCTATTGTTCCTGTTGAAAAAAAATAAAACAAAACAATTGATTCCATTTCATAATGATATTCACCACAAAAATTGAATACACAAAATATTAATTTCAGTTTTAGATAAATTTACCTGTACAACTCCAAGGTCCAAGTCTTTCTTCTGGAACACAAGACTCAGCCTCATGATAGGCTGGAGAATGTCCATCATGGCATATGTTAAGCTGATGAATATCTCACTTCCAACTTTCTTCCTCAGACCTACAACTTTGGGACCTTTAGTGTCTGAGGAGCAGTAGGACAACAAAGAGTCCAGGGTTCTATATACCGAGTCAAGAGCTTCATAGAAACTCAGCCATCTGACCTAAAGAAAAATTTAATCTTTATTAAAATCAAAACACATATATGCACATGAATGACATGATGTCAGATTTTGATATAGCTGGCAAAACTAGTCTTTTATTAGTCTTTTATCCACTAAAAATTTTAAAACAAAACATGAACCATAAATGAATATACCCGATGGACCTCACGATATTTGACAGACGGCTCATTCAACAGGTTTTGGATTGCTTCAAGTTTATCAGCTTTGGTGGGAGACTTTTTGAAGTGATAAAAGAGAGTCTCAAGGCTTTGCTGGAATTTAACCATTCCAGGAACACCTTTAGCTGCCTGTTCAGAGCAAAGTGCAAGTCGATGTGCAGCACAGTGGTTGTTCTTCATGTGGGGATTCTCACGAAGGAAGTGACCGGTCAAACCCTCCTTAGTACCTGTCATGGTAGAAGCCCCATCAGTACCTAGTCCCATAACTTTCTTCACTGCCACTCCTCGACTGTCAAGGTGTTCTTTTAAGGCATTAAAAATTCCCTTTCCTGTCCCATTCGTTATCCTGACATCGGTGAGAAAAAAAGGTTGATGGCTGCCAAAAAAACCACACAATTTATTGATAGTCTATAGAGGTTTATGTTTATTTCCAAGATACTAAAATTAAAATTCAGTTTGTCATGAAGTAACCTTACATTTAACTTTTCATAAATCTTTCCATTGATTTCTCTTTTTATTAAACAAATATACTTTGTTTTGTATGTTGAACACATTTTTTAATAAAAATTATAAAAGATTTAACTAAACTGATAATTTTTATCTTGATATCAGACGGCCAGTGACATCCTTGTCAGTACCCAGACATACGACCTTTTGTCAGAAAAAAAATGCATCTGTATCTCACTTTCTAATTGGCCTAGAGACATGACGTTTTGACAGAACATGTATTCGACATTGCAGATTCTAAATTAGCAATAAAATTTCGCGCCAAAAATCGACTTACAACATTTTGATATTAAAGCGACGATATATACAAGCGCTTTTTAAATTTTTTTTATAATAAAATACTAGGTAATATGGGGGCGATTATCTTCGTTTTATCCAATAAATGCTGTTGTGTTCCAGGGTGGCTTGGACTTCTGCAAGGGCGTACTTAAAGTCCCGAGTTCTACACACTTCTATCTTGGTTTGTAGTTTAACAAAACTTCAGATTTTGATTGATTGATTGATTGATTATTGTTTTTTTAAGACAAGTCGGCAATATTTCAGCCATATTTCGGCGGAGAAATTTATATGTTGCATGAACGGTTTTGAAAGTTCGGTTTCTCTGGCGGCCCCCAGTGAGCCTACTCTTTTTCGAACTCCAGAGAAACGATCTTTTGCGTGCCAAGGGGGTTGTTATCCTTGACACGGGGCACCATTTAATGTCCCATCCGACCGACTTTGAATTGAAAAATAAAAACAGTTAAATTCAAATATACAAAGATAATAATGCTTATAAAAACATTAACATTTAAATCTTATTGTAAAAATCTGTTTCTTGCAAGTATTGTAAAACTGAACTAGGAGTTACATTTGCAAAAAGATCATGCATTGTTTTTACATCATTAAAAAGTTTATTTCGAACAGGTAAAAAATCAGAACATTCTAAAAGTATATGATTTCTACTGTTGCAGATTTAGAATCTTTTATTTTGACTAATGTCTATTTAAAAACGAGGGACAAGAGTGCCTATACCAAAATTGTGAAATTTATGGCCCCAGGGTCAGGGGTTCTGGTGTTAGGGCAGGGCTCCATTTGATTATTTAGTGAAAATACATGTATTCTTTGAAAATCTTCTCTGCTCCTAGGTATTTTAATGAAGATATGAATTTGTACAATTCAACCGTATTTTATCAAAAAGCGCAGCTCTTGTCATTTACATGAACATTCGGAAATCATGCCGAATCTCAAAAATAATAAATAATATACTTTCCCTTAGCAAGCAAGGGGGTACTGATGACCTATTCTAACCCCGATCCCCACAGGGCGGAAGATTTTTAAAATATTTTTAGGTCACCTGAGTAAACTCAGGTGACCTATTGCTATCACTTTTCGTCCGTCGTCGTTCGTCGTGCGTTAACATTTGAACGTTTTCAGCTTCTTCTCTGAAACCACTGAACCAATTTCAACCAAATTTGGCACATAGCATCTATGGATAAAGGGGAACAAAAATTGTGAATTTCATGATCCCTGCCCCCCTGGGGCCTGGGGGGTGGGGCAAAAACCACTAAAATTAGTGCAATCTTTAAAAATCTTCTTCTTTACTCCTGGACATCAAGCAGTCAAACTGTTTGCATGATTGTAATAAGCATTGAGTCCTCTACCAAAATTGTGAAATTCATGGCCCCGGGGTCATGGGTTCTAGTGCTAGGGTGGGGCCAAATAAGTTTAAAGTGAAAATGCATTATTTCTTTGAAAATCTTCTTCTCTGCTACTGGGTATTAAATAAACCTACTAAGTACATAGTTATGTTGAGCAAGAGTGCCTCTACCAAAATTGTGAATTTTATGGACCCAGGGTCAGGGGTTCTGGTGTAAGGGTGGGGCTCTATAGATTATAATAGTGAAATTACATGAATTGTTTGAAAATCTTCTTCTCTGCTCCTGGGTATTAAATAAACTAACTAAGTGCATAGTTATGATGAGCAGGAGTGCCTCTACCAAAATTGTGAATTTTATGGCCCCAGGGTCAGGGGTTCTGGTGTGGGGGGGGCTCTATAGATTATATAGTGAAATTACATGAATTCTTTGAAAATCTTCTTCTATGCTCCTGGGTATTAAATAAACTAACTAAGTACATAATTATGATGAGCAAGAGTGCCTCTACAAAAATTGTGAATTTTATGGCCCCAGGGTCAGGGGTTCTGGTGTAAGGGGGGGTCTATAGATTATATAGTGAAAATACATGAATTCTTTGAAAATCTTCTTCTCTGCTCCTGGGTTTTAAATAAACTAACTAAGTACATAGTTATGATGAACAAGAGTGCCTCTACAAAAATTGTGAATTTTATGGCCCTAGGGTCAGGGGTTCTGGTGTAAGGGGGGGGGGGGGTCTATAGATTATATAGTGAAAATACATGAATTCTTTGAAAATCTTCTTCTCTGCTCCTGGGTATTAAATGAATTAAATAAGTGCATAATTATGATCAGCTAGAGTGCTTTTACCAAAATTGTGAAATTTATGGCCCCAGGGTCAGGGGTTCTGGTGTTAGGGCAAGGCTCTATAGATTATATAGTGAAAATACATGAATTCTTTGAAAATCTTCTTCTCTGCTCCTAGGAATGAAATAAACTAATTACAAAGTTATGATGAGCAAGAATACCTCTTCCAAAACTGGAATTTTATGGTCCTAGGGTCAGGGGTTCTAGTGATAGGGCGGGGCTCTATTGATTATATTGTGAAAGTACATTGAATCTTTGAAAGTTTTCTTCTGGCTCCTTGGTATTAAGCAGATGAACTACTTATGTAGTTATGATGAGCAAGGGTACTAATCTTCCAGAATTGTGAATTTCAAGGCCCCAGGGTCAGGGGTACCATAAAGGAGGGGGGGGCTGTACTTATATACTGAAACTGGATGAATTGTTCGAAATATGCTCCTTGGTATTAATCAAATATTTTTGAAAAGCAAGGGTGCCTTTTCAAAAATTGTGCAATGTGTGGATCTAGGCCTAAGGGTCAGGGGTTCATGTGTGATAGGGGCATTACTGATTATTGCTGAATATTACTGATTACTTGAAATGAATTTTTTGTTCCCCTACCCTGCCTATGGGTATTAAGTAAACAAACTAAGCAGCTGCTAAGTGTATTGTTATGATGATCAATGGGACCTCTTTCAAAATTGTGAATGCCATAGCATCTGGATTAAAACATGAATCAAATTCAATCACTGGAAAGTTGTTGCATAATGCTCAGGTGACCTATAAGGCCCATGGGCCTCTTGTTTTTTTATGCCACCAAATTTTCATTAATTCCCAGTTATCTCCCCTTGAATGAGGGCGTTGCCCTTCATTTAACAAACTTGAATCCCCTTCACCCAAGGATACTTTGTGGCAAGTTTGGTTGAAATTGACCTAGCGGTTCTTGAGAAGAAGTCGAAAATGTGAAAAGTTTACAGACAGACGGACACCGGACAAAATGTAATCAGAAAAGCTCACACGAGCCTTCGGATCAGGTGAGCTAAAAACTAATATACAAATAACTTGAAAATTGCAAAAATGTGTGCCAACTGTATTTGCAAAAAAAAAAAATTAATAAATAAATAAACAGTAAAGTTAAATCTTCATTTTGTTCAGTAGTTTACCACAAAAGTAACAAAAAATACCATAAGCTCAATGTAAAGTCAGCTACTAATAAAGAGAACTGACCGCCTTGTATACAAATAAGAAGATTCAATTTGATTACAACTACGAAAATATTCAAACTAGTATGAGAAATGGACACTATATCAATTGTAAACCTATAGGGTTTGGGACAAATATTTTAATTAGTAAAATAAACATTATCAATTATTAACAATAATCGGATGAAAGACTATATAACTTACAAGAATGTTTATCTATCTTCGGACATGAAGCCCGGAACAATAACTGGACATTATATACTAAGTTAATTAAAGTTTATATTAAAGTTTTACTTACCTTTGTCCAATACAAGGACACTGACCACCAGTTTACAAAAACTTATGTTTAGATTATGAATTGTTTTGTCAAAATTCCAGGATTTAGACCCATTTATTGAATAAGTTGTTTATCGTATATGCAAATGACTATTATGTATTGTACATTATAAATACTATCTACGACGATATGCGATTTATCTTTGCTTTTCACCACTATACGATCATCATTTGTATTCTTTCCTAATTTCAAAACTGTTAAATAAATTCTAAGAAAAGACAATTTTCCTTCTCATTGGTTCACACAATTTTGTTATTTTATTTCTTTAATTCTTTGTCAGTGATAAAATGTTGTCAATACGTTATATCATTTAGATGCAGAAACACACACTCAGTCCAGTCAAGTTACAGAACAATGCACCTTATCATGTAACTGATATCTGTTAACTACGTTTTACAATCAAAGTACTCAGAAGTACAGAGAGCCGGGCTCATTTACAGAGTAGAATGGATTTCTTACATGAATCACGTTTATATTCTGATGATTTTTTTTAACTATCAATATAAATGACAAGACACTGACAGTGAGTTTTTCAATCCTAATACCACGGTCCGATTTTGTCTGAACCAGAATTAAACTGGTACAGCAGCTGAATGTAAACAAACAGGCCAGTCCGGTTCCCTCTCCTGCTTTACATCGTATGTTTAGAGAACTACGGTTACACTGATTATCAAAAATCCTTACGCTAATGAACTATGTTCCTTGACTTATGAAGTTTTCAAAGTCATTACTACTACTGTTTATTTTATAAAGATAAAACTTTGTTTTATT